ATTGTGTGTTTGTGTGTGTGTGTGTGGGACGGATGGCTGTGGCATATACACTTGCAGAAAATATGGCTCCCCCGTTTATAGGCAAATAAAATAATGAAAATTGCGATACGAAAGAGCTCCGTGGTGGCCACCCCGAATGTCCTTTGTTTGTCTTTTATTAGGACAGTAAAATCTTCCTTGTTGCTGTTTTTGCCCGCTGCTTCTGATGCTGCTCCTGCTCCAGCTGCTGCTTCTGCTTCTGCCTTTGCTGTATAGCTGTATTGCTATATGGCTATATCGTCCTCGTCATCGTCCCGAATGCTAGCCACTTGACCAGGCCCAGGACAATGAGGACAATAACGACGTCGCTATCCCCGACCTTTTGTCCGCTGGCCTGGGCACATTTTTATATAGTTTACCATATTGCTGGGCTACTTTTTGCTGCTTGGCCTGCAAATATTTTGAGAAGAATGGGGCCAAAAGGCAAAGTCCTGGCCACAGCATAATTTCGAGTGCAAGGAGCCGGGGAGCGGCAACAAAAACGATGACAAACAAGTCCGCCAGATGCTGTGACTCAATTCGAGTGGCCGATGCTAAATGAGACACATGTATATGTATATATTGTTGCCCCATATATATGCAATTCGGGGCGTGGCCACACTTTGATTGTCTTCATTTAGTTAGGTTTTATGCTGATTTACTTAGGCCACAGACAGCAGACGTTTACGACCTTTTAACGCCCGGCACGATAAAATCTGAACGCCCGTACTCGTCCATAAACCCCCCAAGCCAAACCCATAAACCGGGCTCAGACAATGGCTGCAAAAGGTCTTGAGAGCGATTTGCCATCGATTCGCCCGGAAGTCCCATCGAAAGTGCACCTTCGCAATGGCCAATTCATTGGTGGCTCACATTTTCGGTGATTTAAATTAATTTCGAATATCATTTCTCACTTGCGGCACACAAATCGACCCTGACCTGCTCCACTGGAGAGTTGCGGTGCCGGCTGGCTAATGAATATTTAAAACGCTGCACGTCCCACTAGCACATAGAAAATATATGGACCCTTTCAGCTAGTTGCCGTGGCAGCGCATTAAATTAAATTTACAGTGGGCGCAGAGGTTTCCATGGGAGAAGGGATCGAGAGTTTATTCTAGGCAATTGCATTGAGTGGGGCAGATAAGTCTCAAGGGCGAAGCGAAAATAGAACTGATATCTGCTACTGCTAATAACTCAGAAATCGAAGCTCGTTTGATGGCTCTACTTGTGTTTGGCAGTCGCCGCAACTAGCGCGCCTTTAAAGTAATTAAATTTCCGTGGCGTTACGCATACGCCACATGTTACAGCTTGTCTGTGTGCGTTTGATTGTGCGGCTTGTAACCAGGCCATCATGTCGGCGCCTGCTGGGTTGCAAGGGCACCAGTCTCGGGTTTGGTCTGGGTCTCTCCGTTTCCGTCTCCACATCCTTTTCCTCCGTCGCCATTGCCATCATCTCATCTCATCTGGTCCCGTTTGGTTAGGGCCAAACGGAACCAACCCAACCCGAACCCCGAAGACCCTACCCTACCCCACCCGACCCAGTCTGGTCTGGTCTGGTCTCATATCAACAATGTTGCTAAGCTGCCAACATCAGCTACTCGCAACCGCAGCGGTTTCAGCGTTGAAATAGCAGAAATTTTGATTTTACGACCTTGTTGCCGTCATTAACGTTATTTTATGATGACGCTGATACGACCGCGAAGTATTGTGAGCCAGAGCCGCAGAGCCGAAGCGGAGGCTGAAGGACCTGCAGCCCCGAACAACTCAACTGGGACGGGATTTTATGTATGCCTGTGTGTGCGTTTGTGTGTGGACCAAGTTATTATGTCCTGGCGTCTAAGTAAAAAACCAATAAATGTTAATGAAAATACAAGAGACAAAGTTTAGTTCGGCGAAGGGAATCGCTGGGCTGCATGAGGCATTGAACATAAGCTGATAATATTATTGCGCTATTAATGGGCTCAGGTTTTATGGTTGTTTTAATCGCTTTTGTTACAGTTGCCAAAGTCGCAACAATAACTCGACAATAGACCACAATAAAAAGAATGATGTGGCTTGCGTGTGTGGCGCTCTCCTTTTGCCTTTTGTATGACTGAGCAGCCATTGCAACTTTTTGCCGTTGGCCCGGGGCAAAAACTAATTGCAAAACCAAACGCACATCCCAAGTAGCTACCGATCCCGCTTCCGTTCGCCCCCTCCTCCCTCCCTCCGTCCCTCCTTTTCGACGCCCCTGAAAGGTGTGCGACGGCTGCTGCAAGCTGAAAAGCAATTTAGCAAATTCCTTGGTGTTTGGCAAATAGAAAAGCCAACTTCCAACGGCTCTCGGTCTTTTCTTTCGGCTTCCCCCTTCGTGCGGCAGGCGTCCTGCTGCAAAATCAATTTTAATGATACCGAACTGCCAGGCAGCCTCAATGGAAAGGAAGCGAAGCGAGTGGCGGCGAGTAAATGGCAAATGGCACCTCTATAAAATGGTTATCCCCTAACTCATCCTGGCCCCGATTGCAACATATGCACTCTACATTGCCTGTCCTTTGGCTATAGATGGCCAAGCTTAAAGTATATTGTATGGGTTTAATACTTATAATTTCTTAACCTTCTTTAACCTAAAGAAAGTTTTTCTTTAAGTTGGTTTCAAATTTTTTATAAGATATCACCAACATTATTTTATAATTTCGATTAAATACATAACTTAATGCTTTGGTTTTACAACCCTCTCATTATTTAGTTGAAAGGCGAGTCCCCCACACAAGATCTAATTATTTGCTGAAAAATATAGTTTAGGGCAAGTCCCCGTAAGAGGCGAGTACACCTGGCAAAGTCTGGGGACATCCCATATCATATTTAATGCGAATGTGCGCCGAGTCCTCTTTCTTTTGAGTATTTCCTTTGAGGGCGGCGAGTCCCTCAACTAAGTTGTTATACAGTTGCGTGCACCTGTCTCCCCAGCCATTTCCAGGTGCAACCAGATGGCATTTCTTTGGCTCCTTTTGGCTTGTCGCAATTAACGTTCCTGGCAGCAGGGATCAGCGGGTCGGAAGGAGGACAAGAGGGACACGGAGGAGGGGCCGAACGCATTGGGGCGTGAACAGCACGGAAGTCGTTCGGCCCACACGGCGGATACGTGCTTTAAGGTCTGACCTTCTTTATGTGTGAACTGTACGAGTATGTGTGTATATGAGCTGTTTATGTGTGTGTGTGAACTGTTTGTATGTGGCAGTGCGGTGGGGCTGAGTGTCTGCTGCAAATTGTTGCATGACATTGTTCCACGACACCCACATTCCCCACCCACCGTTTGACGGCATTTAGTAAAAGGGGGCTTCGTTATTTTTTACCACCTTTCTTTGCAGTGACAACTTGCGGCCTACTTGCCATTCGCGTGCCATATGCCATATGCCACAGTTGCAGGGTCGGAGGCACTGCGAAACAATTGCCGCCATTACAGTTTGTAATTCGGTAATCAGCCATACGAATCTGCATAATGGCAATCGGAGCGAGGTCCCCGTCCCCATCGCCTCATCCCAGCCAAGTTAGGTAAACATGGCAAGAAAAGTTGCCAACTTTTAATTGAAGTGAAAACGACGATAACGACAGCATTGTTGGGAAGCCGAGTGTGGAGAATGCGGAATGGAGACTGGGGATCCGAGCGGGATCCTGGGAATGGCATTGGTATTGGGATGGCTCTGCTCGGCTCGGCTCGGCGGCTTTGTTGCCAGCCCGCTGGGATACGGAATACGATGGAGCACCATGGAATATGTGTACATATGCCGAATGCCGTATGCTGTGCGATGTGCGTTGTGCTCTGTGCCTCTGCAAAAACAGTTGCGGAATTGCTTTTTAAACCCACTGAGCGGCGCATAAAAAACCAGCACAGCGCTCCTCTCTGGGGGCGTGGCCCGAAAGGGTTGGGTTAAGCCTTTAAAACGTGAAACTTTTGAGCCGCTTCAAGTTTTAGCCGAGCGTATTTGCCTTTGTGGTCGCCTCGTTCCCAGCTGACATGCAGGCAAATACCCGGCCCTCACCCCCACAAACACATATATATATCTATATGGTATGTGGGTATATATCTATGGCGAATTGGGTTGCAATGTTAAAGTTTGCGCTGCATGCCTGCGTGGGGGATTCGGGTTTGGGGTCAACCTGTTGCCAGGTCAGGACCTCTGGGCACGGGAAGCTGCTGTAAACATTAGACGGGCCATCAATGCGGGCTGCAATATAGCGGACCGAGCGCAAGCAGGCGGCCTTGAAACGATAGTTAGCTAGTCGGTTGTAGACTGGGGGCTGTGGGCCGGCGAACCCGGCATTGTTTGCATTGGCGCACGCAAATATGTTCGGCAGCTCCAGCTGGGACCGAGGCACGCGCCAGAGTGCGACATTCGTGACGCCGCATTCAAGACCCTGGGCTCCCAGGTCCACCTACTGCTATTTCAACTGCTGCTCCTGATCCTGCTCATCCCGCACAAGGAAGGCCTGACCAGCTTTGATTTATTGATTTTAGCCACGGCACACAGCATACCAAATGAGACAATATTTACTAGCCTCGGTGCTGGCCCACATGTGGCACCAACATGGCATGCACTCGAACATATTTTTCGAAAGTTATTTTTCCGTTTTCTGGATAGAAGAAATATTAACTTTATAAATCTTGATTGGGGGTAACTGATTTTACAAACTTTCTAAGCGTCAACCTTTACTTCTTATCTGTGGGAAAATGAAAGGATATGTATTGTTGAGATTTATTTTGTTTTGAGTGCATCGTAGCATCACGGGCATAGAGAGCACGCCTGATATCAGTGTCGGGATTCCATTAGCAAACTCCATCGCCTCGTTCACTCCCTGCCAGCCAGCTGTTTAATAAGCCGCCGTATTTTAAACATGGAGCAGATGCACACTTCCCGCCTCTGAGTGTGGCCTGGCCAGCATCCATTTCGGGGAGGGGAGATGACGCAAGTTCAATTAAATCAAAGCCTCAGCATATTTCTTACCCGCTAGACAGTTCCGGCGCCAGACGCCGTCTGCTGGCGGCAGTGTCTGCAAGTAGAAATGGAAGACGAATTAAATTACATTTAAAGCGCATGCTGCAAAAAGCCCCAAAGAAGAATGAACGGAAAATAAATTGGCCAGCAAAGAGGGAAAAAATGAAAATCATGGAATTGATGTGGGGAAGCCAAGAAAAAAGTGACCGATAAACGCAATACGACCGACAGATACGAGTACAGTGAACCCGAGGAGAGAAGTACCAGGAAGTTTGTGAGCGAGCAACAAGTGAGTCGAGTGAGGTGACGTCCACGGACTCACCGGGTAATATTTTTATCAAATTATTCGCCTGCCTGCAGGTTGTAAATTGAACTTCTCTCCATAATCCCGACGCTCAATTGCCGAAATGCTTATCTGCTTAAGTGGCAAACGAATATGCCATTCATTCGCTCGTATCGTGATTACAGAGCGCATAAAAAGAAGCCGACAAAGTGTAAGAAATGCTGCCAATGAAACGAAATAAAATCGGCAAAAAAGGGAGAGAAAAGAATGGGATAAAGAGCTGGAAAAGCTCCTCCTGCATACAACTGAAAAAAAGTCAGCCAGCCCATGTGGGTGGTGGCAGTGGAGCCGAATCAAAGGCACAGCGCCAGTCCCTCCCGGAGATAAGTAAAGAGGGCAAAATTAAATTGGACATTTATCAAGAGATGCTTATTGATGCCCGAAGTGCCAGGCAGCCAGGCAGTCAGGGCAAACACAAACACATCCACAAACAGGCTGCAACACACACACACACAGAGTGAAGTCAAGTGGACCGGGGATGTCGCTCAATTATTGTTTTGAGTGAAAAACTTTTATTGCCCGACAACTGGCGGCGACTGGCTTTCAAACGAGAGGAAAGGTCCAGCGGCCGAGGTCGTGTAATTTAAATGTAGCCCAAGGCGGGCAAACAAACGGCTGGGAAACACGCGGGCATAAATTAAAGTCAGAGCAGAGCCCTCAGATGCCAGCCCTTAGGCCGGAGTGCTCAGTCCGGACGGCGGACGGCGGACAGACTCATCCTCCGTCGGGGGATCAGCCACTAATTACGGCTATTAGTGCGGCCAACAACAGGAGCGCCAGAAACAATTACGGCCCATTTAATCACCTGCTGAAAATGTAATTATGCTGCATACTTCTGGGGCAGGCGTCTCGCTTCACACGCTCGCTCCCCGAAAAAGTTCCGACTCCTCAGCAAACAAAAAACAAATCGAAATCGCCTCCGGTGGAGCAGAGCATAAATTGTTGCCAGCGCGATTTAGAATTTATTGCATGAAATTAACTTTTGCAAAATAATTCACATAACTTCGGGGCGTGCCGAAGGGCCGACCGAAGTGGCTTAATAAAATAATTTATGGCCAGAAAGGCCGAAAGGGCCGCTTCGGCTGGCCACCGCCAACTTGCCACGCCCCTTTTTCGGGTGCCCAGCGAAGCGGATAAAAGCAAAGCAAATTAATTACGAGTCAAAGCGAAAACCTTTGACTGAACTTTTGCGACGCACCTTTGCCGACGCACACACAAACACACGACGGACATGAAGGACACGCAGGAGAAGTGTGTTTGGTCAATGCCTTTATCAATATCCTTTTTACCAGGCCCGAGAAGAAGAGCAAACAAAGTCTAATCAAATGCGACGGCATCTGCCTGCTCGCCTGCCTGCCGGCCAACCATCAACCATCCTTTTCCCCTCTCAAGAAACACGGACGTCCAGTGATGCGTAGCTAATGTGGCAAAGGGGCAGGACCACGCCCCATCTCTTGACCGTGACGCTTTGGGGGAGGTGGGCGTTACGATGCGACTGATCCGGCTTTTTCACTCCTCCTTCGACTGAGCCGGGCCACTTTTTGCTCACTGATGCGTTGAGTGGACTGAATCAACAGCTGCCAAACGTTCGGAACGCAAATTTATAATGTTTTAGTGCCATTCCCACGCTTTTTATCAACACATTTCACATGTCATTAGCCAGGAGTTATCGTTGGAGTGGGCCAAAGTACTATCTCTTTAAGTGGAGGGATACTTCCATCCAGTTGTTATGCAATCGACAGCCTTGACAGCTTGGCATTCCGTTTTGGCTGAGATTCTGACGAAAAGCTTTTAAATTAAGCACAAACGACGGGGCCGACGCGGTTAGATCCATTTGAAATATGAACAAAGAGCACAGGTGAGGGCGACAGGACTCGCTGGTTTTTCCCAGCCACTTGCCACTTGAGCTGACAGTGCAACATGTGCACACTGCACACACGCCGCAGACAATTCCGCTAAAAGCTTCGCACCCGCGGACAGTTGCGGGTGCCAACTCCGAGTCAAATTAAACGCTCCTCCGGCTCCGGATCCTCCAGTTTCTCCAGTTCCTCCTGCTTCTCGTGCTTCTCCTGCTCCTTGCGTTCCTTCACACTTGACAAAAATGCTCGTGAGGAAGGGAGTTTTATCTTTGCCACGCCAGCCGCAGCAATGCGGCTAAGCATCATAACTTACGCCGGGCATCCGTGCTCGTCACTCAAGGAGCGTGAAAAACCTGCCAAGATGCCAAGGAGTCAGCGCGAGTCCTGCCTGCATTATGCAGTTGTCCCCAAGGCACTAAGGCAGGACACTGAGGAAAAAGTTAGGATTTCGTCATAAGAAAATATCTAAGATATACTTCTTAAGATCTTTCATCATTCATAACTGAATTAGTTTCATTTTTGAGAACATTTATAGTTGTTTTGTGTATCTTTAATTTCTTTTTTTTAAAGTTATCTAAATTTTCTTGTCTTACACTTCTTTGCTAAGTGTAGAATCAGCATCTGCCGTTGAATGCACTTAACATGTTGTACCACAAAATCGTCCGCCATATGCCGTGCATATTAATTTGATGGCACTCATATTTATGCCAAAGCAAAGCCAAAGCGTTCTGCTGCTGCTGCCGCAGTTGTTGCGACATTTTTTGACAAGTTGCAGTCAGTGTCTCGCTGTCGCATTCTCAGTCGCACATTTGCAATGCAAGGAGCAGGAGCAGCTGCTGCTGCCGCTGTTTTGCATATGGACGAAGGACCTCAGCTGGCGAGGAACAAAAAACGAATAGCTGCCAAGCTGGCAATAGACAAACAGGAGGACCAGGACCCCGGCAACTCAGGCCATTCGAAACTGTGACTCCGGCGAAACTCCAACTCGGATTCCAAACTGGCCGTGTCGCGATTTTTTCTGTATTTTTCTTGCGGGTGCATTCCACTTTAATTATTTCAGCAATGCTGCTGCTGCCGCTGCTGCCGTTGGTAACGACATGAAATTTACATACGCAATTTCATTGTTGCCGCAGGATCTGTCGGTCCATGCCCCATCCCGTGCCCTTGCCCCTGCCCCGCCAACCGCCCCCCGCCCTTTGTCAATCCCACAGCATAACGCATTTTATATTCAAATTTTTTCGCTGCAGTCTGCTGCTGCGACCGGAGCACAGCACATTCTATTCGCAGTTTGTTGGCCCTGCCCCCACAATGTTTTTTCCGGGCAGTCTCTTGTTTTTGGCCCGGGGATTGTTAGCGCTTTTGGCCCCGGGCTGCTTATGTGTCCGTAATAATCAGTTGCAAGAGAGTATGCCAGAAAGAGTGCAGAATTTACTGTCGATTTCGCAGGCATTTACCCATACCCGGCCAAGGAACGGTTATGGCCAGCCTTTATGGGCGGAATAACACCACCCGGAACGGTTTATTTAAGGACCACCAGATTTCGCTTTGCATACGTTGGGAATGGCATTCCAGACTGCAGACCCTACGCCGCAGGAACTAGTTATCCCAGCCTCCTTTGGCCCTTCGTGCACCTTATTATGCATGTATGCACAAGTTCTTTTTCCCATTTCCGCGCCATGTCATCGCTCGCTTAAGCAGCAAATTGTGTGACGGCATTTGGGCACCCGGCTTTAAGCACTGTTGTCCGACTGTCAACAGCTTTTAGGCCTCTTTGCCCTGTTTAATGTAGCGCAATAATGAGCCGAAATATTTGCATTTCTTTGGCCCAAAGCAAATGCAATAAACTGCCGAAATAAAGGCAAATAAAAAGTAATCAGAATTTCAGATTCGAGCCGTAATAAAGAGACGAAGACCAAAAGGAATTAAAAAGTGTGCTAAATAATTCATTTTTGAATTAAAATATAAATCACTTTCACACCATTTTGTCGGCGGACATTGGTGTAGACCCAGTTTTTACTGCACGCGGTCCTTTTTTTCCAGGACACTTGTTTATTTTATTACTTTTTTTCGCCCAGCCAAGGGACAGGACAAAAACAGGATGAACAGAACGCCATGCAAATGAGCGACCTACCCGGGCATAACGAAAATCTTTTTAATATAAAAGTGAATTACTTTTAGCAGCGATTTCCGAGTGTGTCCACCGCTCCACTCAACACCCAAACCATTAAAATTGACGAACTGTAAAGGCAGGAAAGCAGGGGCAGGAGCAGGACCTTCACGCCCATTCCGGGCGCCACGCCCATAAACGTCTCGGCAGGTCGCCTTGGGTTATTAGGAAGCTTATTATCGGACGCATCAGCGTGGCCAGGGCATCATTATCGAGTGCTTTGCGGGTTTCCTTGCGAGGGTCCTTTGCCGTCCGGCTTGCCGGCTGGCCGGCGAAAGTAATTTCAGTATCCTTACGCATCTTTTTAATAGGATTGTGTTTGGGGAATTACCTGAAAGGGCGGGAGGTCCTCGGGAGCTCCACTGACCGCAGGCGGCGGAAGCGAATCGATGGCAGTGCGGAAATGAAAACGGCAATGGGCACTTTTAATTTCTCAAAATGGCAACTTACTGACATCCGCTCGCCCGTTCGATTCATTGATTTAATGCCGAGCAACAGCCCAGTTACTGGCAGCCGGAGCTCGGGCTTCCTTTTCCTTCATTGGCAGCTTAAGAATTATTGGGACTTGTTGCAAGAGTTCATATCGTGCGAAATAATTCAGAAAATGCTATTGCACTGCTGACAAAAGCAGAAGGAGCAAGGAAAGGACACTTTCGAACTTCTTGTTCCATTTACCTTCTGCCTCT